TAATGTAAACAAAGACGAGATTACGTCCAAAATACGTCAGGCATTGTTTCTGATAGAAACTTTCTGTGGGTCCGCCGACGTCAGTTCGGATGGACACGTCAGTTCGACGCACCAGGGACACATTTATGTATAAAAGACATCACAAAGTGCATTTTGCATGATAGGTCCCCTTTAATGATTATTTTTTATTGGTTTGTGTGCCTTTCAATTGTTTTGTATTATACAAGTCAGGTATTTCTGTTATTTAGTCAACCCTTATTGGGTGTACAAAATAATAGAAACGCCAGTTAGTTAAAAAGTCCACCTTAATGACTCAGAGTGTTCCATATTTTAATCCCTTAATGATCATTGAATCAATGTTGCAACATAATGGCAGCACATTAAACACAGAGATTACGATTTAACAATTTACACTGCATTCCAGATAAATATAAAGATTAACCATATAAAGTGTAAAGGAAAATAAAATCTATTTAGCCCCAAAATATAATCACATATTGTTTTTAAAACCGGAAAAAGCTTTGGAACAGAAAAAAGCATAAAATAAGAAAAGAAAGAAGAATATTAAACAAAACGTAATGTACACAAAACTAAATATACCCCATGCACAGCTGTTCTTCTCTCTCGGGTGCCAACTGGTAGAGTGTAAACCAAAAATAAATCAAAGATCTCAAGCACCCCAGGATATTAAGATAGACACTTGCTATACCATGTTCCATCAGACCCGCTTTGAAGTGATTCTGATGAAACAACATACGAAATCCGTTTGCTCTTTGTTTTTGATTAAATCTGTTATCCTGTTGTGGAACAAAAAGTAAAATGTAATGTTTGCATGGTTGGTTAATCCTGAGGTTGTTAGCTGCTTTTACAAATATCAAACTGTAATGGATGTTTCTGGAGACATAGCAATGTATTTGTTAAGTTACTTCAAGGTTATCCATTTTAAACCATTATTTTCACATTTCAATATTTATGGAATCTCCTCTCAGGCCTTGAATGACTGTGGGTGATCTAGATGTCAGCTTAGATAGATAGATGGATAGATACATTTTTATTTCGAACAAGTAAAATAAATAATTACAAAACAAAACAAATGTTGCAGTGCATAGTCATGTAAGAGAAATCAAAACAAAAAAATGACATTTATAACAACAACAACAACAACAACAACAACAACAACAGCATTAGCAACATAAACAGTGCCACATCTAGTGTTCGAAAAGGAGTGAGAAGAAGTATAATCTCACCCCCTTGTCACTAAATGATTTATTTATAATCTATAATCTGCAATAATTATCATTTTGGCAGCTTCAATAGTTCAAAGAGATCAAATGGTGGTGTATTATCTGCAGTAAGTATAAGAACTGGAGACAATGACCCGTATCTATACTAGACATGAGAGTAAATAAGTATATTCTTTACCAGGCATTACCAATTTTATTTTGTCTTCTGCTACCTTTCACACAGACATACGGAGCACTTGAGTCAATGTAAGATTACATCAAATGACAGTCTGAGGTCTGAGTTACACATTTGGTTTCAGCTAGTGTCTTCATGAATGAAAATACAGCAGGGGGAGCAGATGTTTACTCACAAGTAGCTTCCCCCCATTGTTTCCCGTAAGAAAGCCTTTCTTACCATTAGATTGGTGTCAGTCAAGTTCAACATCACAGATAAACTGACTAAGACCCCTGGCTACAGATAGCTACTGAGCTTCAATATCTGAACTGAGCTGAACATTGGCTTAGGTTAGCAGAGCATACAGACAGGAAGCAGGAGCAAAATTGCCTTATGCTTTCCAAAGTTAGTAATTAATAAGCTGTATCATATCTGATTGATCTTTTACACATACAGAAATGCAATAATGATATAATGTCATTTTACAGTATGGTACATGCTGGAAACAGGGTTGTATCATAAGAGGACGCTAGGAAAGGTTCACAAATATAAAACTTCCATGGATTGAGCTTGTTGCATTTTCAATTTTACAGATGACCTTTGGGAAAAATGCTCTTTGGGGGATTTGTTCTTTACACATGGGCACTGAGGCACCTTTAGACCTATCCAGCCCTCCTAATACATCCATGTGCAGGGCATGTTAGAGTCTTCTAATCGCCCCAAGGTTGCCAGGCAACCAGCAGCAAACTGACATGCTAATTGCTAAGCTTTAGAGGTGTTAGTATGGGCGTATTTCTGAACAGAGAGCCAGGCTGTTTCCCCTGTATCTAATCTTCGTGCTTTATTGAGCAGCTTCTCATGACACTCTCAGCAGGAAAGGAAATATTTCCCAACTAGACCTCTTTCGCAGCGGCCATTATGACATATAATTGCAGGGTAAACACAGGTGTAATCAATAACTTTAATGGCCTTGGTATTGTGTATAAGGGCTCACTGTAATAGCTGTGACACTAAATCGAATGAGACCCTAATTAATCGTATCAATTCCACCTGTGTTTACCCTGCAACGAAGCTGCTTTAAAAAGGGCATGTGGGAGATATTACTTTAACAAGCGATCTGGACACACACAGATGCCTACTTGCCGTTTAAATGTAACTATGGCATGAGTCTACAGTGTTAACATGCTGATGTGGTGCTGTTAAATGTTTACTACGTTAACCATCTTATCTTAACATACCTGCTTATCTGCTAGTTAGCACCAAACAAATCACAGCTGAGGCTGATGAAAATGTCATTTGTTTGGTATCTGGGCCCAATTCACATAATTGGAGACTGACAATGGTAGAATTTAAGGCATTTAGCTGGGAAGTTGCAGATTGCAACCACCCCCCTTTCCAAGTGTTTCCAAGAACTGCAATGGACTTTCCCGGAATGTGAAAAGTGGAAATAAAAACAAGAGGAATCTTATGGTTTGTCCATTCTTGGCTACCGTAGAAGTATCGCTCTGCAACATGGCTAAATCCTTGAAAGTTAACCCACTCCGTAAGGGCTAACATAAGCACAACAATTCTACCTTTTAGGTGGTAAAACAAAAGAAAACCTGTGTATATTATTTTACACTAAAAAAGAAATACTCCTTAACACTAGAAGTTAGATAGAAGATCATACAAGTTACCCTACAATTCATTCTGAGGGGGACATGAATGTCATATCAATATTTCAGCAGTTATTGCGACATTTCATTCAAAACTCAAAATGTCAACATATCTGGTGGAGCTTTTAGAAAAGACAGGGTCATTAGGGCTCATTTTAATGTCTGGGAAAATTCAAAGCCAAACATTTCTCAATTAAATGTTTTATAAATGAGACTGAGATGAGATTTAATGTATTACTTTTGCAGTTTGACAGAGAACATAAGAACACTAACCCTTAAACTATATAAAACAGGCAGTTTTATAAGACATTCAGCTTTGCATCAGAATCCAGCGGAGGTTAATTCAAGGCATGACTAAACAAAACAAGAAATGAGTCATCATGTCACAGTAACCATAGTAACAAAGCAGTGACAGCTATTATACCTCTCGTTATAACCTCCTGTTACTACGCATGCAAAGAAGCACAGGTAAACTCAGACTTACGTATTTATTTTTGCATTTATTAATTTCTCACACACACGTTCAAACACACTGTGCTATCTCCTCTTATACACACTGAGCTGTGCAGGGGGTACAGGAATATGGTGTTTGAGTGACAACCATGACCTTTACAAGTCGGTTGACTGCGAGCTGCCCTTGTGGGAACTCAGTGTTCTCGCTAAGGATGACTCACACTGAAGATCAAACCCCCCCTGACTTTGTGCCCTTACACTCGCTCTAGCTGTCTGTCACACTCTCTCTTTTTCTTAATCTCAACTACCTTCGGCCACTTCAGCCTCTCTTCTTACAGCATGTCATTCTCCCTCTCTCACTTTCTCTCCTGCGCACCTTCATCTCCCCTAAGAGACTGAACGCTCTGTTCCACGTTTCGAAGAATACTCCTCAAATCCTGATTGAATCTGCTCTTGACTCGTGCAGAGCACAGTTAGGGGATGTCACTCACCCTTCAGTTGGTGTGAACAGCTGGTTTTATGTCTAAGAAACATGTCACTCGCTCAAAGCTCCCACAATACAAATAATTACCTCAAGATGAAGGTCTTTGTCAGTGAAAATAGATGTATATTCCCTGTGCAGTTCAACCATGAGGACAGATATGAAGGGCATAATTCATGTCTGTATGAACTCATTGCTTTGCTTCAGATAGATTTAAGGCAGGGGTCTCAAACTCAAGGCCCGGGGGCCAAATCCGGCCCGCGACTTCATTTTATGTGGCCCCTCAAGAGCTTGCAAAGAATATAATACGTTTATTATACGGTTACATGCCACTTTACAGAAGCAGTTTGCCCATAAACTACAATGCATCTCGTTTGTTTAATTGCCACTGAAGAGACTTGCAATTATTTGCCCTGGACTTCTGCTTTCAGACGTAGTTAATTACTAAGTTATTATCCTATCCGATAATAATCCAATTCAGAGGCAATAATGTAATATAATACATTATTTTATATATATATATTATATATTTATATAGTTACAACCGGCCCTTTGAGTGCAACCTTTATGCGAATGTGGCCCGCAATGAAATTGAGTTTGACACCCCTGATTTAAGGGCTTTTTCACAATGTATTATTCTTAGCTCCTAGCTCCTCAGTGCTGTTTGAAAACCCCTAATATGTTTCCAATATTTTTTTTAATTTAGCTCCTGTTTAACTGACCATTATTGTCTTTTTAAAATCTGTGGTTACATATAAAGCAATACTTTGTTTACATTACTGTATAATACTTGTATTTTCGATACAAATGTTGCTATCTGGTTATCCATTCACATCTAATTTACACACGCACTATATAACAAGAATACATCCTAATTCCTTTCCTGGTCATTTCTGTGTTTTCTACTATAGCTGTTATTTCAACAGTATTGGCCAACATCTATTTCCCCCGTGAACATTCATGACAGTGATGGATGTGGTTGCTGGGTGATATCTGACCCGAAGCCTCTCTGACAGTGTTGAGATTGAATATCAAGAGATAGCACAAACAAAAGAGACAGCTGTATCCATCCCAAGGACTGTTTAGAAATAAACCATCAAGGACAATGCTTCGTCAAACAGGAATGCAAAGCAAACTGTACAATCTATAATGAATAACATGATTAAAGGTGCTTTTAATTAGCTTCCACTGTAAACATAATAATTGTGTATCCAAAAAGGAGAAGCAGCCTTGTGTTCCCCTAATTTCCAAACCATTGTTACTTTATCTTAAAGTGTCTGACAGGGATTCAGAGACTCATTTTTGGAAACATTTTTGTGGAATACCAAGTGGTCTGTGTTGTCTCCAAGAGTGAATGCAAAACATGAAAATCATTCAAATTAAAACAGCTGTCTTGTCTACCATTCCTCAGGTAGCAATGATGGCACTCAGGTATTTGTTTTTGTCACATATGTGAGTTCTTATCTCTCGAATCCATCCAACCTTCCTCATTGTCTTATGGTAAAGAAATGGGGAATAGAAGGTTGCTATGGAAACTATTCTTCTTGGCAACACAGATGTGCTCCGTAGTTTGACTGGCCCCTGCATCCCTGTGTCCAATGTAATGCATGCAAGTGCCATTCAAGAGCCTTTCATACACCTTCTGTAGGTAAATATTTATTCGGTAGAAACTGATAAATATGTGATGGAAACAAATACATAACATAATAGCATAGTAGAAATGGACGGAAGAGGTTTGCCCATGCCCTTGCCCGTAAATTAGTATGAAACATAAATGATCCACTCAAAACACTGTCAAGTGTGCTTCAGTGTTGCATGTGATGACTGTATGCATCACTGGACAGGTGTTTATACACTATACATATATAGTAGGTATAGGGTTATGTAGCTGCGTGCCAACCCATATCATTTGTGGAAACGTGCATGTGGGTGATACGCTATAATTAAAAAGTGACTGGATATGGACCCCTGTGTATTATATATCCTTAAATAACACTTATGCTGTCAAATGGTTAGTGCTGTACTACCTGTTGAATGCTCACCAGAATAACATACTGATTGGAAAATGTTAATTGTATAATGTCCTTCAATTTTACTTTGCATCATTTGAAAAAGTACTGAACATTGGTGAACTATCAATAAAGGGAAATAGAGCGTAATGAGACATCCATTAATTCTTCACAAACGACCACTTTGAAAAAGGTCGTACCCATTTAAATCGGAACTCAAATAATGGGCAACTTCAACCTAACAGAGCTCCTGTTTAATGTCAATTTCATTAGTGTTATCTCCTGAATGCTGTTTTTATATTTCCAGCATTGTATCTAGACTGGCCTGCAAAACAACATTTAATGAGGAAATGACTGCTGCCATAGCTCAGTGAGGTCTTTGAATATAGAAGTCGTAGGCATGTTATAGTGATTTATTCTAATTAGTCTTTCCACAATACATACCTAACTTGTGCTATGCTGTTTCTATCCTTTAAAACCCTGTCTTCTCAGCTTAAAAAGAGAAATAAATACCACAATTGCATTTGATTGCTGTTAATTTGGCGGGAAAATGTAAACAAAAGTGGGATTAGAGAGCGTAGACAGGATGGAAACAAAACCAGATATACAATCTTATGTATGGGCAAACTTATCTATATAACGAGACAAACTTGGGTATGGAAAACAAACCACATGATCTTTGCAACATCCTTAGCTCTGCCTCTGGGGAATTCTTAACCTACGCTGTACTGCTCCATCCATGCTTCAAAGTCTTTCTTGGACTGAAAATCTGAAATTTGAAATGTTGACTCTTGTGGAGTTGCCAATTTTGATTTGTGGCCCCTATGTCAACCCCGGTCTACATGATGGAGCATGTGAAGCCACAGCACTCCTTCAGCAGGGTGAGGCCCGTCTTGGCGAAGGGAGAAGAGGTCTGCTGAGCTCTGGACGGCGCTCGTCTGGGTGGAACACCTGAAGCCCAGAGAAGTCATACTGTGAGAACAATTGGCAATAGTTTCCCAATACATCTTGTGGTGTACATGGAGAGATATTAGATAACTTTATTTTTGGAACAACATAGTTGTACTTTTTTTTCATCAGGTACATATTTGACAGCCTATGTTATGAAGTGAACCATTCTGCCTAATGAGTATGTTTACTTTAGGTACTTTAAGTATATTGTCATGCTTATAATTTGTATCTTAAATAAAGATCAATGCATTGGTATTACTTGTGGTATTACTTTTACTTAAGTAAATTGTTTGATTACTTCAACCACAATTTTACGGTCTAACTAACTGCTAATCAACAAACATGTTCAGCGGATAAATGATTTCAAAAAGTGGAGCACAGAACAACAACTGTGGAACCTAAGCATACCTTTCTTCTTCATATTTTTTGGAAATTTGGAATTCAGAAAATCTGCCATTTCTTTGTCTTCTTCTTTTTCCCTGTAGAGATTGAACAAAGGATCAATGTAAAATATACAGGAATACATAAAGCATTTGGACTACAATTTAAAGTCTTCCATCACCTTCAGATTACAAAAGAGAAGTTGGCTAGGAATGGCTGACAGGAATTCCATGTAACACAGATATAAAGGTAAAATATCATGTCTACTTTACACTTGCTGGCCATCTATTCCGCAGTACAGGTAACATTTAAATGTTGATTTGACCAACGGGGAGAGTTGATAAGCTTTCTCACTGCATCAAATAATTACAGTATCTCTGGCTGTTAGAAAAGATTACATTTACTCTGAGAGGTTCTACTGATTATTCAATAAATCTGGCAGCCCCTCTCTGTCTACACAGATATATTTAGATGAGTTAGACATGCTCTGCATATTTGGGTAATTTAATATTTGCAGTACTACTAAATGCATGTATCACATATTGAATGAGTATGTTCTGTAACACAAAGTGTGCAAATTACAATCCTGCTTTGAAAATAAAACCAAACGACATGGCCTTGAGCATCGTCACATCTCTCTGCGATCCATTAACCCACTGTTGTTCTCTTGCTTCCTGCCTCTCACCTTCCCAGCAGCCCCTAAGCATTTTCACAGCATGCTGTCAGCTGCCAACACAAAGTGTTGCTCACACAAACTATTGATGCCTAACGCTGCATACGAATTGGACCTGTACGGAGCCCCCTAAGGGACATGGAGAAGAAAAAATAAATTATTTGAAAAAAAATAGATAAAAACCTTTGCGAGATCTCGCAAAACCTTTGCGAGATCTCGCAAAACTTTTCATTTAGCTCAATGTACTTCCTGGTCAGTTCGGCTGCTACGGCAACACAGAAACCACAACAATGGAGTGGTTCATCGATTTTACTTTGAGCTTGGCCTTAAAGATATAACACCAGTGCTTGGCAATAGGCACGGGTTTCACACATAGACTTTACTTTACAATCGTAGCAAGGTAGACAAAGAGATACAGTGTCGTTTTTATCAGAACAGTTTGATACGCGCCGTCATCCGAGCTAAACATCAAGAATTGGTCACAATCTGCAGCTTGAGGAGGGAGAGGAGTGCTTAGGGACCGTCTACAAACTGCAACGGGGTTTTGCGAGATATCGCAAAAGTATTGCGAGATCTCGCAATGGGGTTTTGTCTACAAACTGCAACGGGATTTTTTTTTTGTCTTTTGTTAAAAAAAAAAAAACTACAATACAGATATCGCAAAACCTTTGCGAGATATCGCAAAACCTTTGCGAGATCTCGCAATACTTTTGCGAGATCTCGCAAAACCCCGTTGCAGTTTGTAGACGGTCCCTAAGCACTCCTCTCCCTCCTCCAGCTGCAGATTGTGATCAATTCTTGATGTTTAGCTCGGATGACGGCGCGTATCGAACTGTTCTGATAAAAAGGACTCTGTAGCTCGTTGTCTACCTTGCTATGATTGTAAAGTCATGTTTGTATTTTTACAACATTATGTTCATGAGTTATTGATCCGCGAAATTTGAATCTGTAAAATCGATGAACCACTCCATTGTTGTGGTTTCTGTGTTGCCGTAGCAGCCGAACTGACCAGGAAGTACAATGAGCGAAATGAGAAGTTTTGCGAGATCTCGCAAAGGGGTTTTTCCGATATCTCGCAAAACATATATATATTTTTTTTAAATAATTTTTTTGTTCTTCTCCATGTCCCCTAGGGGGCTCCGTACTTAATGAATGCAGGACAAAACATAAAATTAAAAAAACTGAACGTCTAAAACTGAAAGAGCGGTCTCATCGAAATACAGATTCAACTGCAGAGAAGCTAATTCAAACTTGTGATTATTTTATATTTCACTTATGTTTGACATCTCTGCATTAAGATAATGTAATGTTCAAGACATTGTACCTTCCTTTGAGGGTTTCCAATCCCATTGTATGAAGGGCCCTGTAGTGTTTTGCATAACTGTATAAATGTGTGTTTCAGAATGGATCAGTAAGGTTTGGACAGCACTATGACAACCTTTCCTCAACTCCTGCATGAACAAACCATTAGCAGTCCTGAAAAAGTATGAAATAGATGTGTATATGTTTTTTATAAACCAATGACAGCTCCTGTTGCAGTACTCGCTGATAATTTCTGACACATCTTTAACGTCATTGTTTTATCAGAAACATGGCTAAATAAATCTATTTTGGCCTCTGACATTGCCTTAAATGGTTATAATGTGTATCGTACCGACCGGCCTAATAAAGTTGGTGGCGTTGCCATTTATGTTAAGAATAAGTTCAGTGTATCCACATTAGTTTCCAAATCTATCAGTAAGCAATTTGAATTTTTAGCCTTAAATATAGAAGTGGCAAAGGGTCAACAGGTCATGGTCGTGGGCTGTTACAGACCCCCCTCAGCTGTCAACGACTCCTTGTCTTCGCTAGCAAATCTTTTATCGCAACTAGACTACAAGGAAATAGTGCTACTTGGATATTTTAACTGGGACTGGTTAACTACAGTGTCAGAGGATTTTAAAAACCTTTGTATCTCTTTAAATGTTACTCAGATTGTTGACAGTCCTACTCACCCTAATATTAAGTCCCCAAATAAATCCTCCCTAATTGATCTCATTCTAACTAATATTCCCTATAAATACTCAGCTGTGGGAGTATTTGCGAATGATCTGAGTGACCACTGTGTTGTAGCAACAATTAGGGACACAAAAGTCCAAAAGGTTAAACCTCGTATTATCATCAAGAGAGACATAAAACATTTTGTGGAGCAGGGTTTTGTACATGATCTGTTTGGGTTTGATTGGGGAAAAATCGATGTGTGTGCTGATGTTGAGACTGCATGGTCTTATTTTTATCTTGGTTTTATGGAAATTATAGATAGACATGCACCCCTGCGTACATTTAGAGTGAAGGGATGAGACAATCCTTGGTTTTCTGCTGAATTATCTAGTCTCCTACATGAGAGAAACAAGGCCTGGGCAAAGGCTAGGAAATCAGGCTCAGAGGTAGAATGGCTGCGTTTTAGGCAGCTAAGAAATAGCTTCACTTCACATGTCAAAAGTGCTAAATCTAAGTATTATCTGTCGGTTACCACAAAGAACCTGAACAACCCTAGAAAATTCTGGAAAGCCATAAAATCGATATCCACCGGTGATATCCGTAATGAGCTACCTCCGTGCCTTACCACGGCATCTGGCACTATATCGGACAGGGCTACCATGTTAAATTGTTTTAATGAGCATTTTGTGTTCTGTGGCTCTCTGTTTCATTCTGTTTCTAATTCTGCTTCTGTGAACACCACAGTCGGTGACTCAGAACAATGTGGTCTGGAAAACCCTTTCAGTTTTACTCCTTTTACTGTTGATGTTGTTCGTGAAGTCTTAACCAAGCTAGATCCTAAAAAGCCGGCTGGTCCGGACAACGTAGAACCTTTCTTTTTAAAGATAGCTGCAGATTTTATTGCTCCACCTCTTACTACTCTTTTTAACCTCTCTCTCAGCACGAACAAAATCCCAAAAGTATGGAAGTCAGCTTATGTCCTGCCACTACTAAAAGGAGGGGAGGCCACCTTATTAAACAACTATAGACCCATCTCTAAATTGTCAGTTCTGGCTAAGGTTCTTGAACGCCTAGTGAGTGAACAGATAAAGGAGTTTTTATGTACAAATGACATCCTGTCTAAACATCAGTCAGGCTTCAGAAAGCAACATAGCACCATCACTGCCACAATGAAAGTGGTAAATGATATTACGAGTATTTTAGATAATAAGCAGAGTTGTGCAGCTCTATTTGTTGACCTATCCAAAGCTTTTGATACCGTCGATCATCGCATTTTGAAGCAGAGGCTGGTCAGTATTGGCATATCCAGCCATGCAGTGGGGTGGTTTGTAAACTACCTCTCTGAAAGGTCCCAATGTGTTCAGTTTGATGGGCTGTCTTCTGAGTGGTTAAACATCACTAATGGTGTACCACAAGGTTCAGTTTTAGGTCCGCTATTATTCTCTATCTATATTAATAGTTTAGGTGAAAATTTCGAAGGAGCAACCTTACATTTTTATGCGGACGATACCGTTATGTACTGGGCAGGTCCCTCGATTAACGAGGCTGTTGTTAAATTACAGGCTGTTTTTAACATTATTTAGGCTCAGCTCTCTGAGCTTAAGCTTCTTTTAAATGTGGATAAAACCAAGGTAATGCTCTTTTCTAAAGCTAAAGCTAAAAATACACCGGAGACTGCTTTGGATATTGTAACTACGCAAGGAATACAACTTGAAGTGGTTACCTGTTACAATTACCTGGGTATCTGGCTTGATGACTGTCTCACTTTTAAATTTCATGTAAATAACCTGCTTAAAAAGCTGAGGGTTAGGCTAGGTTTCTTTTACAGAAATAAGTCCAGTTTCTCGCTTGAGGCCAGGAAAAGGCTAGTCACTGTGACCTTTTTACCTGTGCTGGACTATGGTGATTTGTTATATATGAATGCACCTACCAATTACCTGAGCAAGTTAGATGCTGCGTATCACAGTGCACTGAGATTTTTGACAAATTGTAAAGCACTTACGCATCACTGTACCCTGTATACCAAGGCGGTTTTGCCATCACTTACTGTACGGAGGCTCAGTCATTGGTACTTTTTCATTTACAAAGCCATGTTGGATAAACTACCATCTTATATCTGCTCCCTGATCTCTCTGCGAATTGAAAGTACTTATTGCCTGAGATCGCATGCTGTGGTTTTATTAAATGTGCCAAGTGCTAGGACTGTCTTAGGGAAGAAAGCTTTTAGATGTGCAGCTCCACTAACATGGAACAGTCTGCAAAAAGAATGGAAAATTACCAAGCTAGTACCACTACATGTTTTTAAAGCTCGGTTGGATGCTACAAAATCAGATGCTGTTGGTACCTGTACATGTGGTTAAATATGTAAATTGTAATCCCTGTACATTTTGCTGTATGATGTCCTTTTGTTGTTCTGTTGTTTATGAAACTTTTTATGTCTTCTTGTGGAACCTACTGCTGCAGGTCTCCCTTGAAAAAGAGATCATTGATCTCAATGGGATTTTACCTGGATAAATAAAGGTTTTGAATTGAATTGAATTGAAATGGCTCTTCACTGAGTGCTCTGCTGCGGTGCATCATCTCACTGTGCCTGAGGAAATGTTCCAGTGTTTTAATAGAGCGCAATGGGGTGGCTTTGTGGATTGAGAAACCACTTTACCAGAACTAGTGACTTGTTGCGATGTTCGAATGGGAGCCCTATCAGTCATTAAAATAATGTGAATAAACGATGCTCATTGGTGATATCAAAGAGTTCCTCTGGATAAAAAATACTTGTTTCCCAAAGGCTATAAGATAGATAAATGGCTACAGACCTACTGTATGTGTGCACTGCATCTCTAACTAGTGGCTTTTTATGTTCAATAGGATTTTTTAATTATTCATTCACAGCCTATGGTGACAGGCGACCAAACAACCCTGTCTCCTAAAAATTACGTTCCCACAGAACTAAACTGCATTCTCAATTACGTTTAGCTAGAAACGTATTTTCTCCCACGTTACGTTTGTTATGAACGTATCTCAAATACGTTTATTTTCTACATATCTTCTAGAAACGTATTTTCTCCCACGTTACGTTCGTTATGAACGTATCTTAAATACGTTTATTTTCTACATATCTTTGCCATTTATTGCCTTGCTTATAATAATGATAATAGTCATTTATAAATATCATTTTAGAGCACACATTTGAAATCGAGAATCGGGCTCGATATATGGTTAAATTAAAATCAGTAGGCGAGGCTGTAATTTCGGCAGCTGTTACTCTCATGAGCGAGGCAGAAAATAATAGTTTTAACATGACAAAAAGCTGCTGTGTCGTTTATTGCACCTCAAAGATTAAAACAAATCCAGAGTTACTTGTTTCTGTACTTCCTCTAAGAAGAAAGGACAGTAAAAGAAGAGCTCTGTGGCTTCAGGCTTGATCGCCGTTCAAATGACAGCGTTGGTTTCCCCAAAAGTGGGCGGGGCTGTAAAGTGACGTTTTACTATCATCTATTATTCAAAACCATTCTATTTATTCTAACGTAAATTACATGCCAGTGTTTTATCTTTTTATTTATTTGTTTTTATTTTAAATCGTATAATGTCGGACTTTTTTCCCGTCTGTGAGGAAAATAAATGGGGTTTAGAGCCTCAAAATACTGAAATCTGTATTTTTTAAAAATCTTTTCCTTCTAATTTGTTATTCTTTTCTAAATAACACACTGTTATTTACTCAACCATAACACACAATTATCCTTGTTTTTATTTATTCGTTTAATTCTATAATCTTGGGCTTTTTAGCCGTAAATAAAGTCACCGGAAACAGACGGGACATTTCGAGCGATACACACCACAAACCCACCGAACTGATTACCCAAGATCCTCAGCTTGAAGCTCGTTGATTGGATGTTTTAGCCGCAATAAACGCTGGGATATGGTGTTAATAAGTTGTGATATCCGAAAACGAAAAATAAAATAATACCTAATTCAGAGTGTTCTTGCTTTTCTCTTTGGAAGTTATCACATAACGGCATTGTAATACACGGTTCGGCTGCATTAAATATTATACATCTGCCGTAGTTCTTTATTTATAGAGCCCTGATGAGAAGACTTCTAGACAAACATGAGGAACTGCCGCCAAAACTGAATACTTGATGTGGATCATAAATATATCAACAATTAAACAACATCTTCAATTTCTTTTCACAAAATACGTCTCCTTGCAGTATCAATAGTAATTCGGCTGACTTTTATATTTGATCCAATTGGTAGATAATAGGTTATATTTACACCATAACGGTGCACAGCTGATAGAAAAGGACTTGTAGTTTTTAAAGATATTACTGATTTTCTTTGAATATAAGAATGTAAATACTGAGTTGAGAGAATAGTCAGGGGATTTGGGTGATGGGAGACACATCTATGGATTCAGAATTTCAATAGCGTACCATTAAATGACGGATATACCTTTCTGTCTGTGATGTTTTACAAATCAGATATTAATGTGTAGAAGTAAAACATGTGAAATAATATAGCAATATCCTGTAAAATTATGTAAAAACATGAATAAAACTACACATCTTCAGATGTTATACATACATAAGTGTTCTACACTAATAATACAAAGTTATTATTAGTATGCTGTGTGTACCTTGTGTGCACCGCCTAGTGGTTAAAGCACGTTATTGAATTATTTTTGTTGAATAATGTTATTTGATGAAAACAATATTAAGAGTACATACTTTCATAGGGGGAAAGTAGAAGGTCAATGATAGAAATATAGAATATAAAAAGTCAAGAAGATACTATAAGTGATCTCTACAATAAAACAGTTTAGTGCCGGATGTACAAAGATATTAATAGGAGGATGTGCAAAACAGAAAAACGAATTAACCTTTATTAACACATTAAAGAATACTTTAGGTTAAGGTCTTATTTTAAACAAGAAAAAAGCTTTGGGGGTATCTATCTACCGATGAATATTAAGCCTGACAAAGTACTTAACGTCTAATATATTGCTTTCCTGCAATGTTAACTATGTTGAAGCACTTCTTTTAACTAATATTATACACATTAATTATACTCTTATGTATGTAGATAGAATAAGAAATGTGCAGAATATGACAGTTTAATGGTGGAGGTACACACATATTGATAGATGTCTTGTAATGCGCTGTTGAGGAACCTGCGACCCAAGTTGTGTATATGATCAATAAACCTTAGAAAATCTTGAAATCTTGAAAGGGATGTGCAAAATAGCCATTATACAGTTTTTAATGAACTATTAGTAGAGAATAACGAGTAATGAATATACTTTATAGAGATCTGCAGATAAATGTTTCGTCTTCTCAAGCACCACCTATCAAATATCTCTCCTGATTGTTGGCACTTGACAATCACCTTCCCTGAATTTTACTCAGGTGTAACTAAAGTCTGCTTTAAGGGTTGTTTATATTTCACATCATTAATCAGAATCTGCAAAGTAACTAAACTAAATGTAGTGGAGTAAAAATACCAGGTTAACCTTTGAATTGTAGTGGAGTAGAATTACAAAGTAAGCTGTCGTGTGGGTATATATTAATGCTGCCCATTATGGATATAAGCGATTTTTACCCATTTAGTAATTACATGTTTTAAATGTGTACACACCAATGTGTTTCCTATCGCCTAAACCTCCAGGGCTGTACACAGTTTAATACTGGCAACTTCTAATTTTGGGAAAAACGTCTTTTAAAACTACAATTCCCAGTAGATACGTGCCATAGAGAACATGTTGCGAAACAAAATAGCCAGCATGTGTATTTCTCGGGGGGCGTTCGAGTCCAGTTTTGAATAGTCTGCCGTGGTTTCGTTCCATTTCAAAGAGCTTGACGCTCGGCGTAACCTTGGCGCACTGCCACTCCAACATCACGGGATTTGTCAACGGGACTGTAGTCCCAAACGATAGCTGGGATTATGGGTAGTGTAGTGTCTTCGGCCATCCTAAATCTCGAAATGTCCCGTCTGTTTCTGGTGACTTTATTTACGGCTAAAAAGCCCAAGATTATAGAATTAAACAAATAAATAAAAACAAGGATAATTGTGTGTTATTGTTGAGTAAATAACAGTGTGTTATTTAGAAAAGAATAACAAATTAGAAGGAAAAGATTTTAAAAATACAGATTTCAGTATTTTGAGGCTCTAAACCCCATTTATTTTCCTCACAGACGTTTATACGATTTAAAATAAAAACAAATAAATAAAAAGATAAAACACTGGCATGTAATTTACGTTAGAATAAATAGAATGGTTTTGAATAATAGATGATAGTAAAACGTCACTTTACAGCCCCGCCCACTTTTGGGGAAACCAACGCTGTCATTTGAACGGCGATCAAGCCTGAAGCCACAGAGCTCTTCTTTTACTGTCTTTTCTTAGGAAGTACAGAAACACGTAACTCTGGATTTGTTTTAATGTTTGAGATAAACGACACAGCAGCTTTTTGTCATGTTAAAACTATTATGTTCTGCCTCGCTCATGAGAGTAACAGCTGGCGAAATTACAGCCTCGCCTACTGATTTTAATTTAACCATATATCGAGCCTGGTTCTCGATTTCAAAGGTGTGCTCTAAAATGATATTTATAAATGACTATTATCATTATTATAAGCAAGACAATAAATGACAAAGATATGTAGAAAATAAACGTATTTAAGATACGTTCATAAGGAACGTAACGTGGGAGAAAATATGTTTCTAGAAGATATGTAGAAAATAAACGTATTTTAGATACGTTCATAACGAACGTAACGTGGGAGTAAATACGTTTCAAGCTAAACGTAATTCAGAATGCAGTTTAGTTCTGTGGGAACGTAATTTTTAGGAGACAGGGTTGGACCAAAGGACTCCTACCAAGCTGTAATGAAACCATAACGAAGCACACCTGAGTCTTTCAAACTCCACATCGTCCACCAGGAAGTCTCTGGTCTCAACCAACTTGTGGATCTGCTGCAGGAGTTCCTCCTCCTTCTGCCGGTCCTCGTTGGACTTGTCATTATCTGCAGCAAAATACATCGAGTGTTTGTCCCAAATGAATCACTTAACTATGAATATAACAAGGGTTTAACCACAGGTACTGTATAAAGATGTTTGTATGAATTGGATTTATTTTAGACATTCTGCTTTTATTCTCAATCAACCTACCTGGTATGGACACTAATTTCTGCAGATCCTTCTTCAGACGAGTGATCTCCTTGCACAGCTGAATGTCATCCATCCTGCACAGGAACAAAAGGAACACACACACATATGAAAGTACTGGAAGTGCCGCACATCACATTCTGCTTTAAAGGGTAGAAAGGATTTGAAACTATATGGGAAAATGAAATTCAAACACAGAAAGATTCATATCGATGTTTTAATTCACACAGGAGATGACACAATCTTTTCTGAAGAGAAATCCCTGTGGCGTCTCTGAGCCAGAGAGCTTTCACTCAGCCTCTGTCTGTATCACACGCTTTCTCTTTCAATGGCCCTCCAAACTCAGTGGATCATTACTGACACTGAGGTGGGGTGGGAGATCACAGAGTCAGAGAGCACTCACATGACCCAGCATCACTGCAAATGCCTCTTTTTAGGAGAACACACAAACAGACACTCTCTGGGTCAGACACACACTTACACACATCACACCCATTCATCGTCAGCAGGGAGAGCCACGTCACCTTTCCTCATCTACCTGTCATATAGGAAGCTCTCTAAAGACATGTATGTGGAGAAATGGCCCTGATGAGGTCTGGAATGATGCGCTTTAATCAAAAGAAAACACACAATTTATTTGTTTGTTTGTCAAAAACTTGGTGAAATGTGCTTCAGATCGTGACTTGCCCTCTCCAGTCTCTCATTTACCCATCCTTTCTAGCTGACTCTTGCTTGCCATCCCACACATGCCACTCATCATATCCCCCCCCCGCTGTCTGAGCACCGTCTTTCAGGGGAGTGGATGAATAAATATCCATGCATTAGCCTGCTTAGTGGAAGCCAAGGTAAAGCCATTGATATTATAATGAGGGCCAGCACGAGGTGTGATGGAGATAAATGAAGAGAGATAACAGAGGGCAAAGCTGCTCCGAGATTTGTTTCTGATACCATAGGGGAGCTCTTGAATGGAAAACATAGCTTAAATGATTTGAACTGCTTTTGACTGGGGAAGCTTGAAGATGGATTTTCCAGTTAGGGGCTTGTGTGTACTATTGTTGTTTTGGCATGACAGTGCACTTTAATGACTGATTAATTAACTAAATAATGTATTTATTCAGGTTTCTCACAGCAATACACAGAATGTTGTCCCACATGTGTTATGTGTGCAGTACTAACATGTGTACCACTGAGGTTAAGATTTGTTTTTGGTTACGTAAAGATCCCATTTGTGTCTTACAAAATGACTTTCCCCTACAACCTCCCTCCACTGCCACTTAATTGCATTCTAACACATTTGCGTTTGAAGGGAAAACACATTTTCTTAACATTGTAAATATACACAAAAGAGACACTCGACAAAAGTACTTGGTTATATTCATGCAACAACAATATTTGGGTTAGATCTTGTAAAAAACGGATGAATTTGGCTTAAAGAAGTAGATTTGTTCAATAATTTAAGTTACGGACAAATTAAAAGTCAACAATGACTTTATGTTTTATGCAGATCACAAACACCAGTCGCCTGTATGAAAAAAGTTTAACCATCCCATCCACCCGGACATCCTCCCTATGCAGACTTTGAGTTTGATAAGAAATGTATTTGGGATAGATCGAAAACCAATGTAATGTAGAAGAAAATAAATTACGAAGGATAATTCACAATGCAGTTTCATTGTATGGGAATATACTTACTGTATAGGAGAACAGGTACAGAAGCTTCTAGTCAAACATTTTTGTGCACTGGCACTCAATACCAGCAACAAACAAAATAATACACCATTCAAATATAATGTGAATTCTGGGTTGCTATTATTGAACCAGTTTGTCTCCGGTAATCACACTGGCTGCAGATGGCAGATGAAATAAACAAATGAAATCAAAGTGTGTGTGTTGATGGGCCACTCACATGTATCTGAGCTCTGACTCCCTCCTGACCAGCACGTCTCTGATCCTGTCAATCTTAAACAGCTCCCCCTCGATGTCGTCCACGGTGATGGTGGAGTCTGCCATAGACACCACGTCCTCGTCTAAGAGGGAGAGAGAAAACGTACAGAATTAAAAACTGATCTATTAATTAAAAAAATAAAGTATTCAATGTTTGAATTAAGTTATTATGTCAGTTATTTGCAGCCCCCTATTGTTTGTGAATCTGAAACACAGAAAGACATTTAAAACCGTCTATATTCCATTGAGAAAATAATTCAAATTACATTACTTTACTTTCCCACTCTAAATTATTATTACTTCTGTGGCTAGTGTCTTTGTAATATACACAACGTGTGCGTGGCAGGTGAATTAGACATCATTAGAATAAAAGTATTGGAGTCAATATTAGTTAATAGTCAATAGCATAATGAAAATTCATTTAAAGAATCTGATCAATTATGTTCAGCATGTTCAATTAATCAACAGAATGATCAATAACTATTTGCACACAACAATGAGATAATATTGAGTATAATGACAAGTCCAAGGAGGACCAGCTCTCACTCCCAGCTGCTCTAATTTCAAGCAATTGAATAATCAGATATAGCACAGATGATGCTTTGATTGCTTGGTTAACAGTATCAAACACAATATGAGTATCATTATGCACTTCATGCCACTCAACGTTCTCTGTATTTCTCATTTGAACTGTATGCTTCCAAATAAAACAGATATACAATGAAAAAGGCAAATCCTACAAAAGCTTTTGCAGCATATATCTAAGCCCCCATCTACAACAATGTGTGAGCTTGCGCCGGACAGCTCTGTCATGCTTTTGAATGAATCTGACCCAAGGTCCCTGGAAACGTTTGTGTGGAATGAAAATACTTCAAAGCTTTTCACACAGCGGCTGCTTTACAGTACACTGAGAGCAGCAGCATCAACACATTCAAAGGCAGCGGCATATCACACATTTTACTGCAACCATATCCTAAAAAAGCAATTGTTTTAGCCATGCAAGAAAACATACATAAATCAGCCTGAAATCCAGCTATGGTCGGCCTTCTTGAAGGTAGTTGCAAGTTTACAATTGAGGAAAATTGCTTCCGTTCTGCTCTGTAGTAGCCCTGGATAACTGTCCCTTCCCTGCAGAGAGCAGCATACTAATGCCTCCACTAACAGACAGTCCCTCCTTAGGCCCTTCAATCCTCTTTATATACACACACAGTCCATTACTTCGTAGAGCTCTAGTATGTAATATCTCTTTTCTGGTCACATTTAGCCCTGGGGAAGGTAGCACTGACTGAGTTCAAAGTGCTGTGAAGACATGTCCTCTGCACCAGCGCGAAAAAAGGCAGAATAGATGTGGATCATAATTCAAATAGGTATTGTATGAGCTGAGGTTAGTTATAAAAGCACCATGGTTAGCATTATGCATGCTTGCAGATAATGGACAGTTTAGAAGGACTCATGTTCCTGCTGGCATTGGAGCTTTGTTTGGGGGGTTGTAACTGCAGTCTGTTTGTGTGACAGATATACAAAAAAAAGGCTTCATTGAGTTCAGATACATCCTCACACAGATACTCTGTTACTATGACGAATCTGGCTGACGTCAATGTAGCGCCAACACAACCTTGATGTCTCAGAGGAGAAATAACTGAGTGAAACATTGCAGTGAGCAGTGAGTGTTAAGTGAAACTATAAAAAGACAGACGTGGAACTACCTACCCTCTCCCATTTTTGTCGAAAGTGTAAATAAAAGTTAATTAAAGGGAATAGTATCCATAAAGTTGACATTTGTGCAAATGCAGTTATCTTATCTTGTGTAGTCTATGTTTTATTTTTATTGGACAACTGTGTGTAGCTTTTTTGACCATTAAAAACTTCCCTGTGGGGACAATAGCATACATCTTATCTTATTTTGTGCTAAACTAAGCTAATGGCCATTCCCTGTCAAGCCCAGGTGTTACAAGTCAGTAAGATAGGTAAATATCTGACAACAAATATGTACTCTTGGAACAAACTGCCAATGATTCAACGTTAAGCTTATGCAGTTGAATGTGCAGATTTCCAGATGTCCCAGGAAGAGTGTGTGTGTGTGTGTGTGTGTGTGTGTGTGTGTGTGTGTGTGTGTGTGTGTGTGTGTGTGTGTGTGTGTGTGTGTGTGTGTGTGTGTGTGTGTGTGTGTGTGTGTGTGTGTGTGTGTGTGTGTGTTAGGGCTGCTCGATTAATCGTATTTTAATCGCAATTATGATTATGGCTTGCAACGATTACGAAAACAACGTAATCGAAATAAAACGATTTTTTTTTTAAATTATTATTATTACTTTTTTTTATTTTTTTTTATTGATTTTTCAGTTGAATTATACTTAAAGTTCAGGGTAATCAACTGTTAAAAACATACTGTTCAAATACATTTTTCTCCAATAAATTGATTGTCAAAGTAAATGGATAATCGTTTTTAATAATCGTGATATCAATTATTGACCCAAATAATCGATATTATGATTTTTGCCATAATCGAGCAGCCCTAGTGTGTGTGTGTGTGTGTGTGTGTGTGTGTGTGTGTGTGTGTGTGTGTGTGTGTGTGTGTGTGTGTGTGTGTGTGTGTGTGTGTGTGTGTGTGTGTGTGTGAAAAAGGGTGAATAAGTACGAGTGAAAGAAAGAGCCACTCATTTATTCTTTTTAATCTCACCATGAATGATAATGTATCAGCACTAACACCTTATTCAACAGATGCTGTGAAATATACTAGATAGGATCTGCTTGCTGACACAACATCAGATCACAGCCTCGAAACGCATTCACCACTTGATTTCCTGCCAAAAAAAATTAAACCTCAATCACTATGAACGGGGATTTCCATGTCGCTGACAGGGAGCTGCACATGTACAACATGGCAACATGAGTGTTGTTTATTTATCCTTACATTGTTAAAGACAACATGCTCTGCTGCAGAGGCTCACAGGTTATTCTGCCACTGAGCAGCTATGACTCATCACTAGACCTCTCAGAAATGTTTCCTCCTTTTCACTTTCTCCCCTTCTCTCATTCTTTTTCTCCCACACAGTTTTCTCTTTTCCATTCTCCTCATTTCACCTCATATCCCCTCGAACCCTGCACCTATCATCATACCCTGAAGATTGGGAATTACATTTATGAGCTAATTTCACAGTCTATGCTCCAGCTTCTACACTGCCATATGGTACTTTACACCTAATGAGGTAGACAACCAGTTAATAAAGAGCCACCAGATTGGAGAGCAAGACAGAAGACAAAGCATTAGGGGATGACGGAGGAATGGTTGGAGTAAGGAAGAGGAAGGAAGTGAAGAGTAAAGAGAAAAAACTGAAAGAGGACTCAACAGACAATCTGCACAGCTTTCCAAACGTCCTTCCTGATCAACTATTTTGTGCACATATTTCACACAAGTATATTGTTTAAAAAATACAGCAATGTAGAGGAATATAACTGAAATTCAGGAGGTAAAACATCCAGCCTCTCCAATGTGAGGATTTGCTACGTTTTGTAAATAATTTCAAATTGAATGCGTTTTGGCCGTTAGTCTTACAAAACAGATATCTGAAGTTATCACCATGAGCTTTAGGAATTTTTGATAAATATTTTGTATCTATCTTTCTAGCATAATAGTCTTTCAAAAGCAGGGATTCAGATGTCCTGCCAAGTGCCCCATTATTCATAAGTTGTGGCTGCAGGTCCCTGAGTGATTGAGCCTCATGAACACAAACACTGGCAGTACAGTACAAACACCTGTGGAGTGTTGACATTTGCAGAGCTACTGCCTATAATGCAATTGGAAACAATACATTGATTGGTTTAACCCAGATAGTACATCATTTAAAAGATACAGTGATCCTGTTTTAAGTTCTAATGGGTAAATATAGAAGACAAATCAATGAAGACGAAGACAGAAATAGTAGAGGTGCCATTAAATATATTATAAAATCACAGTGAATGGACAGATTAAACAGACCGAGGTAACTATAAATGTACTATAACAAGGACAGTGTAACTCCATGTAGCAAGGTTATGGTAATAAGAACATTAGGTACAGTAAGGAGAATTTAGTCATCTTGTTGGAGATATGAACAACATACAGAAAGGTCACTTTAAACACAGTCAATACATGTAATAATAGTGCATTTTTTGTTCTTTAGGTCACCTGGTTTTTTGGTGTCTTTGCTCCATTCAGTGCGCTCCAGTGAACCGTACTGGTGAGAAGATTCCTGCTTCTTCTCCATCGGTCCAGCAGCTGCTCCTCTCCTCTCTTCTCCTATACGCTTCCAGTTGCAGTGGCTGGGAAACAGCGAGGGGAACTACAGGGGAGGGTCTTGCAGTCTCAGTTTGATGCTGTATTTCATTGAGTCATCGCCAGTCACACAGCAACCTGTAGAGGCGGGGGAGCCCAGCTGTGGCAGGTGTTACTGTGCTCACACTGTGTTGTTGAAGCCGGGGAGATGGTAACTGCACAACGCCATCTGGTGGCCGCTGGACGCCATTACAGCAGGGGAGAGTTTAGGTCAAAGGACAACTCTTCAAAACCACTTCCTCTTCTAAGTCTGCTCAGAAGTTGATGTTTAATCATGATATAAAAAACACTAGTGTTAAGTATGTAAGTCCATTTACTAGTACTGTAGTTAAGTTGAATTTTTGAGTAAAATTTCCCTTCTACTCTTACACTTAAACTTCTTACGCCTTCACTTAAATATTGTACTTTACTACATTTAATTGATAACTTCAATACTTTGTAGATTTAGATCACTTATTCCAAATATAATTAACAAGTATCTTGTATAACTTAAAGTTGTGAGAAATATATTGAACCCTTCATAACATTTACCAGCATCACACACAGAAAAAAAACTCCTCCTTTACAAGATGTAACATTAAAGTCACGAGTGCATCAATAACTATTATCCAAAAAGACCATTATTATTCTGAAATGGACTCTTCTGCATATTGAGCACTTCGACCTATTGTATTTAAAGTATAATTTGATAATAATTGTTGTGCCTCTTCATCTATACATTTTAGTTCTTACTCTTTCACTTAAATCCTAAAAACTTAGATCTTATATTTAAAACTTTATCCAAAACCTTTCCCCTCTCTGACCTCTCGAGATTCTATTAGAGGGTAACAGGTTGCAGAGAGGCCTATCCCGGCCGGAACGTAGTCACAGACCTACTCCTTACCTGTCACCAATTCCAATTCAGGTTCCAGTGGGGACCTTTCTCCCTGCGTGTGCCTCTGTGCCTCTGTTTCTTACTTGCTACCCTTTTCCCTCAACCTATCCTAAGGGAGTGCATGTAGGCCTACGTAGACACGTTGTGTTCCTTACTTGCTACCCATTATCCCTCAACCTATCCTAAGGGAGTGCATGTATGTAGACAGACACGTTAGTTTAGCTGCTATAGGCTTAGACTGTCGGGGGACACACCTTACTTCGTCTTTCTGGCTGTTTGTACCTGTGTAGGCCTACTCTCATGTTCCGATTAACCCAGCTTCCCCCAAATCTCTTTTTGTATGTCTACATATATGCCGGGATCCTGAGTCGAGGCTAATCCTGTTGCTGTGGTCGTGTGTCCTGGATCCTCTATCCTGAGTACTGGATCTGAGTCCTGGACTTCGAGTCGTACGGCTGAACCTGTCACTGTGGTCCTGCCAGACTCTCACCATACTACTTCACTGATGGCTCCCACAGGATTGTTGACATCATCGTGGATTCATCTTCTTATTATAGACACATGCATTTCCAAACATTTGGACTACCTTTGTTGTAAATGTATTATCTTTTCGATTTACATACGGCATCTATTGCACGTCTGTCCGTCCTGGGAGAGGGATCCCTCCTCTGTTGCTCTCCCTGAGGTTTCTCCCATTTTCCCCTTTAAACTGTGGGTTTTCTCTGGAAGTTTTTCCTTGTACGATGTGAGGGTCTAAGGACAGAGGGTGTCGTATTGCCATACTGATATTCTGTACAAACTGTGAAGTCCACTGAGACAAATGTAACATTTGTGATATTGGGCTATATAAATAAACATTGATTGATCGATTGATTGATAATAATACTTCTCTACGTTTACTGGCTGAACCAACGCAGCACACATTTAAATGTAAGTATGTAGTGGCGTAGAACATGTGTTGGTAAATATGTTACTTTGTTACATTTGTTTGTTATCACCAAAAATGTGTTCCATGAAAGTAAAGCAAGTTCATAATTAGATAGACATCGTGAGGTATTTATTTTGGGTACAGTTTATGTTGAAACCGTTAGAGAGAGTGGCACACTTGTTAGCCTGTTCCATTCTTCTTCATTTTCCGAAGCCGTGGCTTGGAAGCATACTTGCTTCGTTTCTGAAGGAAGTGACTTGGAAGTACGCGACTACCAAGCCAGCATCCTCGCGATTGAGAAACGGCCTGTATGGAGCTCTAAGGCTTTCTCTCTTGCCGGTTATGGAGAGGCGAAGTCCCTCCCCTTCCGAAAGCCTCCATGGGACCCCGGAAGCGGAAAATTATACATTGAAGTCAATGGAGAGAGAAAGGTTATCTTTTGATCCCGTTTGAATTGTGCCACGAATGACACATATGATGTTTGTCAATTTAAAAGAATATTTTGCAAGTCAAAAAAATAAAAATGTGTCGTAAAACTGTGAAGTTACACATTTTTTTGTGTGACACCGCTCAGTGAACTACAGGTCTCTGGTCTCGCACAATACGCGTCACCATCACAAAGACGGCCGTCACGTTAGCAAATTTCACCTGTTTCTTTCAGAATGAGGTGAAAAGTATCAAACAAGGTGAACATCACTACAAGTCTGGGCATGTTGAGAGCTGTACATACACGAAAGGGGAGTTAGTCGGTTCTGTAAGAGCAGCGGGACCGGCTTTACAAGGTTTCGGTGAGTAATATGAGTGCAATGTGTAACGTTAATGTCAGCTAGCTAACATTAGCTAACAAGGTACACTAACGTGTTTTGTTTTAGTAACTAGTTTTCTCCTTAAGAACTTCGTGGTCTCTGTGTATGCTGTGGATAACATTAGTGTTCACAAGAACAAGGTACACTCCCGTGTTTTGTTTTAGTTGCTCTTCAGATTGAAGCGGCCAGTTGTATATCGACTATACTGTATGTGTGATCTCCTTTTTCTCATTGTGTCATTTGAGTTTATTTGCTGTGTGTAGATTCAAGGATTTTGGTTATATAGGCACAGCTGCGTGTGACTCCCTCTGGTACACCGGTATGTGTTTTCCTAATGTAGAGAGCATTGATTAATTAATAAACTACACACTTAGTCTAGATCCTGACCAAATCCTTTTTTATTGTTGATGAAATGTTTTTCAAAAATGTATTCATACACATTTAGAAAAGTACAATCACAACCAATACAACACAAATTACAAAAAATACAGAAAAAACAAACAATAACAACAGACAAGAGGACAAAACTATGGAAAAATATACCCTCCCACCCCCAGATCTGGACCATCCTTGTATTATTGCTCATTCAATCTATTATAGCATGCTAACAAATGGTACTTACTTTATTTTTACAGATCTGCATGGGAGACGATGGCGCGATGCAGAGCGCTGTCTGTGATTGTGCACAGGAGATGTACAAATGCAGCCACGCTGCAGCATTGGCAATATTTGCCATGTGGCAGATCAGCTCCACAGATGTTGCCAGTGGAGGAAGCCTGGCACTTAAAAAGTAGTCCAGCCGGTGTCTCAACTTTACCAACAGCGAGAGGAGACATACAACCCACTGGCCAGAGACATCGCCAACTGTCAACTGGGGGGTTGTAAACGAGGCCGAAGGGGTGAAGGCTTTTGTGCAGGCCTATCGGGTGACAGTGTTCGAGTCTGGTCTCTTTGTGAGTGAGTCGGGTGTGTTGGGAGCATCACCCGATGGACTTCTGCAGCCATCTGCCCTGCTGGAGGTGAAGTGTCCACACAGCCAGAGGAACATGACCATCGCGGAGGCAGTCCAGTTACCATCCTTCTGTCTTCGTGAGGAGGGTGGGTCATATATTCTCAAGGAGAATCACCCATACTGGCACCAGGTCCAAGGGCAGCTGCACATCACAGACCGGAGTCTCTGCTACTTTGTTGTGTGGACCACGAAGGAGGCGATCATCATCCCCATCCCCAAAGACCCTGCATGGCATGGAAATCTCCTCCTCCTGGAACAATTCTACACCCAGCATATGCTCCCTGTGTTGGCCAGTAGAGAGGAGGACATTTCAATAAACATACTCTTAACACCCTCGGACTCTGCGTTGTGTTTCGTATGTGTGATGGGGTGTTATGCAGAGGGGAGGAAAACAGGACACAGCAGATTGGGATTGTGGTGGAGATGCTGAGCAGTTATTTAATTGTTGCATGTAATTATTATTATACTGCGTGCTTCTGAGTTATTCCATCTTTTGCTGTAACATGGATCTGTATGTAACTCTATATTTACTTGTTATCTACCACACTTCCTTCTACATCATACACCATCATTATACATGATGGTGTATATAGGATATATATATTTGTATACATATCTGTAAATTGTATTATTTTATTTAAACGTCTTTTTGATCTCTCAAACTGAGTAAGATTGACAATAAAGTTGACTTTGAAAAATATATATATTCTTTATGAAAATAGTTGACTGTTGTCAAATGAATCCAAATGAAACGTTGGACTGAACTACAACTACGCCTTTAAATCTCTACGGACTGTTTTTCAGTGGGATGGCAAGTTCCTATCTTTAAACATTTATTAGTTTTTTCTCAGAACAGATTTGATTTTCTGAAGTTAATTTAACTTTGCCGACCATGTAAGGTCATTATTAAAAGGTACAATCAATTTGTTTAGGGTTGACTAAAATAATGAAAAACATTCATTTGGATAATTTACTGACAGAATAAGAAACTCAATGATGCTCTACTCACCTGTTCCTTTTTTATAAAGTGAAACAGTTGAAACGATAGATTTTAGTAAACTTAAAAACAACCTTCTCCAAAAGCTATCAAGGAATATACCGAATACTTGTTTTAGAACTTTATTACATATTTTTATATAAATAGTTTGAATGATCCATAATTGACAGAAGCTTGTGTTTACACTGACCTGTTACTCATATATTAATGTCTTTGTAACTTCCGTAAACCACTACCTCACTAATTTATTTCATTCATCACGGTTCAGTAAACTAAGTGATACATGAACCAGTTTAATCATTATTATAACGTAGGATTGCAACTCTTTGAAACTGTAGGTGGCTCTTAAAAGAGCCGTTGTGTTTGGGTGTGCTGGTCTCAGGTCAGTCTAAGCCCTCTCTCCGCGCGGATGCGGCGGGCCAGCTGGATGTCCTTGGGCATGATGGTGACCCTCTTTGCTTGGTTCATCTTACTGGGGGGCAGCTACATGGATGTCGGTGCAGTCCACAATCATTGCGCAGTTGAAGGCAGAATTAATTTATTATTGACTCAGAATGAAGCACAACTTCATGTCAAACAATACAATGACTTTATTTGTAATTGTGTAAAAAAATATGAGCATTGATTAGCAAGCAGGACCTGCAGGAACAGAGAATGGTGATGGATGGAGCTGGGAAGAGAGAAGAATAAAGAAAACAGATCAACTTTATTATCGGATATTAAAAATTCAATTTCAAAACAAGTTGCCGTTCCTACAGTTTTCTAGTATGTAAAGATGATTTCACATGACCTATGCAAAATATCACACTCAATACATGTGTGTCTCTGGGGGGTGCATTGTGCCTTTGATGTATATAAATAATATACCATAACCAAATACTATTACGTACAGTGGAAATCAGGTTGCCAGAGCAGGTCAGTGTGCATGTTCCTCAACGTCTCAGCAGTTACAGGTGAGGTAAAGAAAATAAAAGAGAAAAAGGTCAGTAACAACACTTTAAAGTAACAACACTTTGAATAATTATCTCTTCTAACAATTTTCTCTCAATAAGCACACAACGACTGTCTTTCCAACAAACAGATTGTCATCACAATGAAACACGTCCAGAAGAATGACATGCAAAGCTCCATGCCTGCCTTCGACTCTCCCTGAACTGCTTCCTTAGCACCCGGTGGAGGGCGCAGTAGGCTACTCTTCAAATGTTTCACGAAATACTTACCATCATGTTTGGTTACCGTTTAACATTTTGGTTTACTTCATGTAATAAAATAATAACTTCATGGTAAGGCTACTAAAAATGACAAGGCTAAGTAATGTAATGCTAACTAACGTGCTCGCTACTCGTCGCTACTAGCTAGGTAGCTAACTTGACTATGTTCCATGCACAACATGTATATTACCTATGATATTACCTGATATGTCTGATCCAGCGACTCCTGGTCCTTTCATCAGACGGGAAGCGATAGAACAAGCAAGTGGTATGATCACTTTTGTGATTACAACCTGGTACAAAGCACACAGGCATCTTGTAAAAGTGAACCAACCACTTGGAGCATTATTGCCTGTGACATCACTTACGCGACCCAGAATGGGATTTGGGATTTGTAGTCTTTGTAGTCGCGTATTTTTCATAGTCTTATATTTCAACAGTTTTACGACAAAATGTGACTTTTTTGACATGGAAATGATTGTTTAAGATTGACAAACATCATATGTGTAGTTCGTGGCACAATTCAAACGGGATCAAAAGATACGTTTTCTCTCTCCATTGAATTCAATGTATAATTTTTCGCTTCCGGGGTCCCATGGACCGGAAGTAGATGGGCGTGACTTCGCCTCTCCATACCACAAGGTGAGTTCCTTTTTATTTCCTGCTTCTTCACACACATGCTCTATCCAGTACAGGTTAGCTCTGAGTGTAGCGATGCTAATGTAAACACCGACCATATTACGTCCAAAACAGTCAGGCATTGTTTCTGATAGCAACTTTCTGATAGTGCCGTGGGTCCACATTTCCGATATTACGTCATATCGGACGCAAATCTGGATCAGCTCCGTTGTACCCTGTTTTTAGAGATTTGGGTACGGAGGAAAAGGGAGAGGGTTTTATTTTCTGACGCTGTGTGAGTTCCCTGACACACCGGGGACCAGAGATGGGGTCGTTAATAAAAAAATGTAATATATTACATATTACTTTAAAAAAAAGTAATATATTACACTACTTCGTTACTCTCTACATACTTTACTCGTTACTTTACTCGCCGAGCACGTACGAACTGCGCATGCGTGAGTGGCAATAACTCTCCTTACCAGCAGGCGGCGGTAGTGTGTATTCGTCATTCAAAACAGGCAACAACCGGAAGACAGAGAAGAAGAACAACAAACAAACAAATAGCGTGTGCGTTAGCTTCACCTTAGCATGTGTTCTTTGCAGGTGTTTGTTGAGGTTTGACGTGGTGTTTACAGCAGTGGATAACAGCTTCTGGCCTGGACACAGTTTGCACCTCACCGTCAAATTCCTGTCTATTCGTCGGACGAACTCAAAATAATGGGCATACCTCCACCCCTCGAGAGTTATCGCTGACTCAGCCATGTTTATGCAGCACTGCACGTGGAGATGTTGACGCGCAAATCGCGCAGATTACGTACATATAAAGCTGCGGCGGAAACCCCTCTTGTCTGTCAGTGTGATTATGACTGATTTTAGTAAGTAACGAAGTAACGCGTGTCGGGGCAATGTTAGTAACTGTAGTGTGATTACTGAATTGTTTAAGTAGCGCGTTACACTACTCCGTTACCGATAAAAGTAATATTGTTACACCCAACTCTGCCGGGGACACATATTTATGTATTTAAGACATCAAAAAGTGCATTTTGCATGATAGGTCCCATTTAAATAAAAATTATAATAACTTCATCTAGTAATGAGAATCACAACTTTTATTATAAAACACACTTTTTTACAAAACAAAATCATTTATTTACACAACTGCATTTTGATTTGAATGGCATCGTCTTTATACAGGACATTTTTGGAAAAATAATGTGCAAAATATATCAAGAATTTCAAACTCATGACTTCACCCTGCCAGGCAAGCAGACACACAGACACTCACATGATTTTATGTTGCAGCCATTAACACTTCACTTCAGTTTCTGAGGCTTCTGACCTTTACTGCATTATGGTATCTTGCATACAAATGTATCCCGAGTCATTCATACTTTTCGGCAAACAACAACTGTACCAACAGTTAATTTATATTTAAAGCCTCCCTCCATGACTAATAGAAAATCATACACCTATGACGTGCAAAGTAATGACATAATTACACGCACAGTTCATAACTTTAATTACCCCTTTGTTGCTCCACTCCTACAAGGCATTATCTTTAAATTAATTGCAGTTTCAGTGCAAATAGATGCAATGTAGCACTTCATTGCATCATCAGAAACAACACAGTGAGTAAAAGGGGTTCAGAGGTGTTTTTCACACCTCAGGCTTGTGTCCACGTTTCATATTCGACAGTCCCCCCAGGAGGTGTGTGGCGCAGTGGGTTGTGCGTTGGTGTTCGGATCAGGGGAGCACAGGTTCTAACCCCACTGCAGTCAGCATGTCGTTGTGTCCCTGGGCAAGACACTTCACCTCAAATTGCTCCTATAAAAATTGTCCACAGTATTGAGTATGTAAGTCGCTTTGGATAAAAGCGTTTTTTTCATCTTGTACACTAATACTCTTGTTGGCAGTCTGGCGTCTAACAGCTACTTTTTGTGGCTATTTTTTTACATGATCACTGTCTATGAGTGATCCATTGAAACACAAAATATGTTCAGCAGCAGTTCCTGACACTTGGATTTAGCTTTGGCACTGAACACAGTGTGGTTTCCAAATTATAAACCTAAGGCTATTGTCGATCATTCAAAACTTAATTATATACTACCTTATGTAACAGGTACGGGAATAACAAGGTATTTAAATGACTCAGCTCTCACTGTGTTGTCTTTCAACAACGTGCACATGTGAGTCACTTAAAGGCAGGTCTGCATGTCTGCTTTCTTTTGTGTGTTCGTGTACTGCATGCATGTGTCTGCGTGTGTCAAGGCAATACAAGGTAGTGTGTCTATAAGGTAGAGTAATTGATACAATCAACCCCTTCAATTTTGCCTGGGGAAACAGATTTTGCAGATTGCCCCTTTAATGTATACAGGTACATACCTTTGCTAACTTGTTTCCCTGCTGGTCTCTAGTGTCACAGGCAGTGTTGTTCTTTGGCAATTTACATCTGCATGTATTGAGTGACTTTCTAAAACTATGTAAAGCCGTTAAAAAACACTGTTAGGAGTTCAATCATACACTGCTGCATGTATAAAACAAATGAGTTCCTGTCAAAGTTAACTGATTATTCCATTTCAACAGCAATAATTGACACTATCACGATATGTGTTGTCTGTTATGGTTTATAGTCTTTTCCATACATTCCCGTCCCAGACTGAAACATGTTGGTTTCAGGAGCAGCTCAGCATGACTCAAAGGTGATTCCTTTAGCCTTTTCATGTGTCAGACAGGAACTCTCGTATCAAAAAGGCAAACAACCATTCCTGCTATCAATCACAGTATTGTTCCGGTTGTATTTCCAAAGTTTCTCTGTGGGGTTACTCCACCATGTCAGGTTAGGATGCCAGCAAATGTGTTGATTGGAAGAGGGAGTCCTTTGCACATGTATTTGCTGAGTCCAGCGTCTTTGTCCTCTCCCAAACTGAATTTGGACCTCATGGTTTTTTGGACAGAGTATCCAGGATCAAGACACGGGCAGATCTCAATGCTACAACACAAATAACAGGGAGCTATTAGTTTGGGTTCCACAGAAAACAGGTTGAGATTCACCAAGGTTTTATTGGCTGAAAACATTTTTTTAAATCTAAATGATAAGTGATTAAATCAAGGTGGTACAAAGGGGCCCAAGACAGAAACATTATTCTATACAACATATAGGGTTCCCCTTCTCACCACTGCTTGTTACCCAAATACCTTTATTAATTAGAGATCTCTTAGAACTTGCTATTGTTTTTAAAGCAATGATAGCTATCAATGATTATTTTTCTTACCAATAAAACAATAAACCTGTGTAAGACCTTTACCCAGTGTCGTATAACTCTCTTACCTCTGCACATCTTTGAAGGTCCTTCGACAATCTTTATCCAGTGTAACAGTGAAGGATCGGCTTTCCAAAGTGCGAATCTTAACGTTGCTCATCCGAATCTTGGAGTCCTGAGAATTAAAAGGATATATTGTATAAAAACAAAAAAAAGTTGTTTTAACATAAACAGTCTCTCTAATGAATATCCACTAGAGATTTTTGACTCACTGTCACGTTGTTTTTAGATTTTGTCTGAGATTCATTGAATGTCAGTGTCAAACAGTTCAGATCTATGAGATAAAAGCAGAGAAAAATACGGAGCATAAGAAAACAGCAAAAAAGAAACAATATATACATAAGAACATACAGATTCTCCAATGGAATACGAGTGTGAAAATAATGGACCTTCTGCTTCGTTTGAGGGGATAGCACTGATCTGAGTGCCTGATGTCCGTACTGAGATTCCTTTTTCAACGTCTCGTCCACTTAATGTTACCTACACACACACGCACACATATTGCATTTATACAAAAGGCATCCTAAACATAAACAACACAATCTGAAACAGATATGTCTAAGTAATCTCACAAGGAATTAATGGATGTGAAGAAAAATACGTACCTTTTTGTAATTCAATGAGACCACAGCCCCACAGACTTCCCCTGCACTCCACTTGTGTTTCTCTGTTTGAGAGACAGGCACATTGTAAAACTTGGTTGTGTACAGATACAAGCAGACAGATGTGCACAAATATCAAAGATATTCGGACATTGGTAAAGATAATCTACACGTATTCACCTCTAACTGACGCTGAGATCTGTCTGAACTCAGGCAACTCCATTTCTAGATGGGTAAGAAACACGTCTTCCACAGGGTCCTTTGTCATGTTGGTGAATGTGATCTAATGGAGAACAAACTATTTTAAAAACCAAAATACCAAAAGCATTTGTATTAACATCCTTTGGTAGAAAGTTATATATAGTAGACTTTTCACCTTCGAAATAAACATTACAAAGAAAAATGAATAACACTACCTTGACATAGTAGATAGTGAAGTAGACGGGCTGCTGGCCGGTACGAACGTAGTAGGAAATGACATCAGACACGAAGGGCTCTTTTGGCCTCCCTGGGTTTGTGTGTTGCTATTAGAGACAACATTCATATAAAATAAACCATCCTGCATAATGTCACAACCACACACTCATCTTGGTGAAAGTAAGGTAAGTGAATATAGTGAGTCACAAAAAGGTCAACTGCTTGTCAGGTAATACAAAAGTGCCTTTAGTCAAGTAAAAGTGAAAAATAAAACGTTATAATTTTTGTGACATTTGAACAAAACTCCAATGTAAATCTCAAGTTTTCCATATTTCCCATACAGAGAAGTCACTTTGCACATTCTTTACAAATACATGCCGATTATTTGATCTCTCTAATGCCTACAGCGTCAACGTAGTGTGAAGAAGATTTAGAGTTCAAGCGCTGTTGCTGTGGTTTCAATGAAATCACCAAATTAATTTCCTTGCAGCAAAAGATCTTAGGCAACTTCCTGTTTCAACTTATGCAAGGAACAGTTGCCACGTTGACTAAATCGGAAGCGGTGATGTGATCTCTGTAAACTATTCAGACACTGGCTGCAACACAGTGAAAGTCCCTCACATTCAAACAAGTGCTTTATCTAACACTGTGGGGTAAAAGTTATTTTCCTTTAGATGTAGTTAGAAGTGTATCGTACCATCTTAGCCAGTTTGGGGATCATGCAGCCTAAACTTTTGATGTTAGAGTTGTACCACGGGTCCACCATGCTTAAGTAGGAACCAAGAGTGCAGGGATCTCCCTTAGGCTGAAGAAGGCTTTCCTAAAAAAAGGAACATGAAAGTGAATTAAACAGCAGTTAGTTAACAAGACGATACATAATGGTGTCTTTCTCTGGCTACTGCACATTTTAACATAGCTAATATCGTTTTTATTCACACATTATTTTACGTAAAAACTCATTAAAGAGCTCCGGTCTTATAAAAAGAAAGTCTTTATTGGAGTAAAACCACCCGAACTACAATTTTTTGTTAGAGTTATCTCAGTGACATCAGATAAAACAACTAAAAACAGATTATAAGCAAGAAAACAATTATAAATTACACAAAATATGGCTACTTTATAATGCTGTACCGAAAAACAATAACATTTAAAAGCAAAAATGCCAAGCAAATGTATATATTTTTCTAATATCATTTTATATCATACAATTATTTAATATTGCACATCTTTCTATCCCATTTTCACAACACTTGAAGTTTGTTTAATGACTACTATTGTATTAAAAATATCAATAAACAAGAAATATGAGGTGAATTGGATGTTTTAGAATCTTGTCACGTGTTTACTGAGCATTACAAGGCAGTGTCCACACATTTATCTAAAAATAAACACACAATGAGAACATTGTAATGGGCATTTCTACATAATGATAATGATCTACTGTTATCTCTATAGAGCTGTGTTGACTTTCACACAAAACCAGGTTAATGGAGAGGAAGTAGCCTTACCTTGATAGAGGAGTTGGGAGTTGTGGGCCCGCAAACAGGGATGTAGTAAAACTGGAGGTTGACTTTCATTGTAAGAAAAAGCCTCCGCGCTTCCCTTTTCCTGCAAAGACAAGCCAAAGGTTGGTGAGAGGCACGGAGTGGGGGCACGCTTGACTGAGCAGTAAAAAGGATTCGGACTTCATCATTTCACAGAAGCAATAGAAGAAGTACTGTTTGGCTTCCCAAACCTGACATTTTATGAATGTAAAGGGATTAATTTATAGTCCTTCAGTTCAAATCAAATAGTTTTGTTAGTGCTAAAATGACTTCATACTGTACAGCCTTTATAAATAAGGTAATTAGGGCCATTTAAGGTTAGATGTGAACGTTCCGCAGCTTGCTTCCTATAACTGTATAAAATACATTTCTACAATACATTTTAGACATCCTTGTTACATTTACAGGTGTCATTTTTAAAACAGAATACATATTTTTAATGTTTTTCCATCCACAGTTTATAAGGAATTATTTTAACTCTGTATTGTTGACAACAGAAACAAGAAATATTATTTTAATAATTGAAATCATCATAAATTCTCATGTCACGTGTCTCATGTCATGTGTTAGGTTGAATTTTCTGCTCATGAGAAAGACCAACATTGATGATGACATGCAGATGTCAGTACAGAGTGATAGTAGAGATAGATAGAGTGATATAAACTTAAGCATTATATTCAGCCGCTGTAGGAGAAGCTTCACCTTCTTGAGATATGATTCCCTCACCTGAAGATGTAGTAGGCCTTGGCCAGGCGGCCCAGCACCCTGTCGTCCCCCATAGCCACTATCCTGGCAGTGAACTGTCTCTGCTGCTTGGGGAAGGGGTTTTGCATCACGCTGCTTCCTGCTCGTCTCTGCAGAGTCCCTTTGCTTCCTCCCCTCCCTCCACCTCCTCCTCCCCCTCCTCCGAGGCTTGGGTGTTCCTCTAGGGTGTCCTGCATCAGCACCATGCTGTCCTTCACTGACGGTTTCATCTTGATGCCCCCACGCCGGAAAAGTCTTGCAGCGTCTTGCTCACTGGGGAGAGAGTTGAGTCATTGTTATAAAATTATGTAAAACTTAGAAAACTAAACAAGTGATGCAACCAGTCCCACGAAGAACGTCACTAACATTATCAAAACACTTAAAACAAAATCGAAGTTCTTGGTGGAGATGACCTTCTTTTTTCAAATGACCCGTACATGTCATAGATGATTTAAAGAAAATATAAATATAGCTCTAAATATAGAAAAACTCAAGGGACGCTTTTTACAAACACTGAAAATTCAGTATTATTCAAGAAATTACAATTTGGCATCTTGTTAATCTTAACTAGCATTCAGATGTACTGTACCTCTTGCATTGTTCCCATGATGAACTCATGCTGGCTGTGTCCAGAGATGAAGGTGTGAAGGGATCAGCGTTGGGGGGCAGGTCTCTTTCGATGCCGCTGTCGTCGGACATGATGGAGAAGCGAGTCATGTCTGACGGCATCAGGTCGCCGGGAGACTCCCCGAGCTCAAAGTCCTCCTGCTCCGGGATGAGGGGGAACTCCTCCGATATGGAGCTGGATCGAAACCACTTGGCCAGCTCTCGCCCTGTCGAAAAGACAGCACAGAACATCACTTAAATATTTGTCTCCGATGCTTTCTGTGTTTACAGCTGAAAAATGGGTTGGAAAAGCATGTTTTCTTTTTGTTAAAGGCTGTAAAGTATCCATTTATCGTGACTGAGAAATATGAAAATGGGCGTTAATGTATAATTTTCACATTTCTGAACTTGTGTTTTTTTTAATGGCATAATAACAGACTCTGATTGTATTGTTTCCACAGATGTGAAGTATTTATATATTGATGTAAAAACAAGGTCACAGTAAGTAGAATGCCCTGAAACTGCATGAGGATCAGAGGGTTACCTCATCATAACCAGATCACTGACAAGACTTTTCAGTCATGCATAATCGTTTTGATGACTGCAGAGAACACATGTCTGCTGTTCTCCTAGGAAAGAACTACAATTCATTCACATGAAAGGAAGCTCTGGGTGTTACATTAAATTACCTCTTCACTGCTTCTAGTAAGAAATCTATTCACAATTATTCACACATTTGATCAGTGCCTGCCTTGTGACCCCCCTTAGCAATTAATGCTTGAGGTGTCCTATTATAATAATTGAATGTCAAATATAATTCAAAGCTATCATCGCGTGTGCTGCTTCACTGAGTATGATGGTTTACATATTTACTGTATGACATCCTGTACTGAGAAACTAAATGTTGAAATGTAAATGTACTGATGTCTCAGTCACAGTCGGTTTCACAGTACCATTGATTCAATTCAAATTTGTTCTGGATAAATCGGTTTGTTACATTACGCGAGTCCAGCTGCGATAAACTGAGAGGAACAATCCTCCCCTCTGATATTCTCTCACTGTGAAAGGGTTCTTAGTGGTATAAATAGCTTTTAAATAATGACTTTAAATAACTTGGTGACACTTGCAAGATCACACTGAATTCATTCTTTTCATAATTTCTCCCCGTTTAATATAAACCATGCAAAAATACAGTTCTTCAGTAAAACTCAGATTCACTCCATTAAGTTCAGTCTTGGGTAAATAGTTCAGCCTCATTCAGTTCAGCTGACTGGTGTTAACAACTTCCTGTTGACCACCCAAGGTTCCCAAAGCCACTTACAGATATCCAGCTCCTCCGTCCACAGGTGGAAGCTCATCTCTGGGTTAGGAAGAGGGCAGTCACACAGTCCTCTGCTAGACAATGGCTCTACAATACACACACATACACACACACACAAACACATGGAGGAAGAGAGATAGGAAGAGACCAAAACTGTCACAATGACACTTAAAAGAAAACATCTCCCCAGCCCCACAACAACTTCCTCTTAGTGCCTAAAATCTTCCAGCTGGGATGAGCGGAGAGCAGGTTTATTGCATAGGTTGCTGACTTGATAAAAGCTGGGAAAATGTGGATGTCATGGAAATAGATATCCGGAAGATTACAAAAATAGAGACAACTGACTCGACTGTTTTGGCCGTAGAGGAACAGCACAAGAGTCAAGGTCACACTTTTGATCTCAGCAACAGCCGGCATATCAAGCCCTGCAAATGCAGAAAACATGTTCATCCCTGACAGAGGGATTGAACAGGACAATAAACACTGTGATTCACTGTGCCTTCTTGAATTGAAATGTTTTCATTGTAAAGTGTGAACCCAAGAAAATTCCCTCTTCAATTAATTTCAACATGTTTCCCTAATCAACACATCTACCATGCATGAGCAAGATAGATCCCTCAGGACTCCCATATTCATGAGAAATTGTCAGGCAACAAGTACTTGGGAAATGTGACGCAGCCACTGCTGTTGTGATACATGTGTAAGTGCGTGGTGCTCGCAAATAACTTTTGTGTCAAAGGTCACAGTCTTGACATTTTACAGAGAACAAAAGTATTTCTTTAGACTGAAACACCTGATGAATGGCAACCTAGAATGCCATTCAAGAAATTGAATACAATTCCCAGAAGATATAAGGACTCTCATACTATCCATGTCACGTTCATCATCCCTTTAGGACTGTCATTTAATCCAAGCGAATAGCAAACATTTGGTCTACCTAATGCATGTCATTTTGTATGTTTAGAATGTTTTTATCAGTTAATGAAATCTAATCCGACAAAGTAACAGCCTCGTCTCCTCTCTAGCTGCGTCTCTCAGCTTTATACATGTAACAGATGTGGCTGCGGTTCTTGTGGTTCCGCTTCCTTCATTGCTACAGAGATAAGTCAATTTATGCCTGAGACAGAGCAGCTGTGCCTCAGAGGAACTCTGCCTTGCATAGCTTTGCTGCATTTCCTTTTCACATAGCTACTTACCCGAGTCTGTTTCGGAGAGGATCTTGCTATACAGCTGCTGCAGGCGGCTCCTGAGCAGCCCCCCATCCCCTCTGCTGCTCTCCTCCGCGCTCTGCTCCAGAGCCGCCAACACTTCCTGAAAGTGCGACTCCACGTCTTGACCCATGTCCTGTCCCAAAACACACAAACACATGTGGGTGAACACACATGCACACAGGAAGATAAACACATTCAGACTCCGTATTAATAGCAAAGCGGTGAGGGGTCAGAAGCACGCGTGTGTATCTGACTTTGTATGAATCCTGCTGAGGTGTTACTTTAGGATCGCTGCCAGGAGACACTTCCACCACGCAGCTCAGAGACTGCAGACCTTCATTCCGGATGTTTCAC